TCTCTCTCTCTCTCTCTCTCTCTCTCTCTCTCTCTCTCTCTCTCTCTCTCTCTCTCTCTCTCTCTCTCTCTCTCTCTCTCTCTCTTCCCTTCTCTTGAACTCCCTCTGCCTCTGGCTCCATGAGGATGACAACCCTGGATACATCTGCCTCCCACTCATGCCCTACAACTACTACTACTATGGCGGCTATGGCCGCCTGTCTTCCACAGCATAGCGCTGCCCAACAGGGCTTCTTAGCGCTCAGTCCACTTGCAATAGCGCACAAGCACCAACAACGCTTCCAGCTTCTTGTGAATGAGCAATCTGTTCGAATGAGGCTGGGCCAGTCTTCTTATTGACTTGGACTGGTCTTGTACTTCACTTGGCTTTTGCTTGACTTGGCCTGGGCCTGACTTTTACTGGTACCGGTCGCCCGCGGCCTGTTTGCTTTTGGAATATTGAGGCCCAGTACCTTCCAGTCTTTCCTTGGAGCACTTTGGGACTTGACTGTCAGGCCGGGTACCGGTTGCATTTTGGCCTTTGGGGCCTGTGGGGTACCCGGCGCGACCTTTGCCTCTTTTCGACTTGACCCTGAGACTCGAATTTCGAGTCTGCAAAGTGAAAAAGCCTTTCAACATAGATAGATAAGCAAAGATAGATACATGTTGGATGGGCAAACATAGATACGACAAACATAAATAAGCCACGATGCCTCCACCTCACCATTCTCAGCTATGACAGCAGCTCTCCCTGTTGCTCTCCTTTTGCTATATTGCTGTTGCTGGTGGCCGTGGCAATGTGCATCAGCAACACCACCGATTCACTCAGCACACTAAGATCTCCCCCCTCCCCTCAACCCCACCCTGCCCCCCCCCCCCCCCCCAACCCGCCCGCGCAACAGACACACGCATGCAAGGAAAAACGAAAAGGAAAACTTAATTTGTACAAAAAAAACTTAAAAGTTAAAACCTGTCGAAAAGAGGAAAGATATAATTCTTACCACCAATGATGCAACGAGGGGAAAACTTGCCACATCAAAGCCTCTGGAGAGGGAGCTTTTCAACAGGTTGACCTTCATAGACATCGACGGCGAGCTGACGAACGATACAGAAACTCTACGCACAAACGGAAAATCGGAGAGGTACGCGACTCCCACTCGAACCTGCAGTTTGAACCAAAGCCAACATAAAAAATATATATATATATCGTCACAAACAGAACTGCCCGGTAAACCGTAGGCAGAGAGAGAGAAGAGGACAACAAACGAGGGGCTGTGACAAACTGTTTCGTCGGAGTTTCACCGACTCATCAGGAGGATATATATGTTAGTGAAAAGTGACACCAAAACCTCTTCTGGACTCTCGCGCAAACCCGCAATCCGAATCGAAGTCTACTATGCTGGAGGTATCCAAAGCCAATGCGGCTGCATGGTACACACATGTAACTCTTAGTTAACAGATTGTGAGTTGTTTTTTTTTTTTCACAATCACAGATCGTGAGATGAAATCCAGAAGGAATAAGATAGCCGCAATAATGCTACCGTCTCCACCCAAATAGAACGCCCCGGTAATTATCGCCGCATCTGGGCTGAAAGTTGTGCCAAATACAGCTAGAATGACAGGCCGTTCTATTCGGGTGAAGACGGTAGGGGCTACCACCTTCTCAAGAAAGAAAGGCGAAAAACAAAAACGAAAAGAGAAAGCAAAGTCTAAGAAACACCAACTGCCGTATAGCTCAGTTCTCAAATGGAAATGGAAACGGAAAACTGCCCGGCAAAAAAAAACGGATCCAGCACGAGAACGGAGTAAGAAGATCCACCCAGATAGAGCACACTCCGTTGTGCACGCCAATTCGAAAATCCAATAAGAGGATAATATTAAAGCATTCAGAGATGCAGAACGAAACCAACAACCACCTGGCCCAACCCTCGACGCGTTTCGTTTACCCCGCACGCAGAGTTGCCGACTCCTCAGGACGACAGACCAGTTGGCATACCCCCTGAAGCGCCTGAACTGATGAAATACCCGAGTTCGATTCGAATGTCAGTGGACGATGAGTGACATACTATAGTTCCGGAATACCTGCGGCCCCTCAGTTCGAACTTCGATGATGATATCGGAAGGCCACCGTCGCCCTTCGCAAACGAGAGCAAAGGAAAAAGAAGAAAGAAGGAGAGGGAAAAGTTAAAAAAACAGAAACGTCGCCCTTCTTGAATGAGAGCAAATGAAAAAGAAGAAAGGGGGAATCTGAAGGAGAGGGAAAAAAAGCAACAAAGTCTGAGAAACAATGTTGGACTCAGTTGGAGGTCCAAGTCGGAGAGGTTCACGACTCCCACTTGAACCTGCAATTTTGCTGTACGTCCATTTAGATGTACATCACAGCTGTGAAAATAGGAATGAGCATTTGCCCCGCCGCCTACCCCCCCAAAACCAAAAAACAAAAGACAGTGAGGCCACTACAGTAGGGCCTCAAGGCAGAAAGTAGCGGGCCGGTAGGCCCTGCACTCAGGCCCAAAGGAGTAAACGCCCGTCAGGTCAAGCATTCGCCTGGACAGTAGCGGGCCGGTAGGCCCTGCACTCAGGCCCAAAGGAGTAAACGCCCGTCAGGTCAAGCGTTCGCCTGGACAGGTTGTCTAGGACCACCCTGTAGACTACGCCCTTGTCCGGAAGACCCAGTACAGGGTCGTCGACGAGGGTGCAGCACTTCGTGTGTCTCTCTTACGCATGGCGCACCATAACCACATATAGTTGTTTCGCCAATGAAGGACTTCGTGAAAGAACTAAACACGTTTCCAATACGTAACGGCTCGCTCCAGCTTATGCGATTGTTGCACAGCGCGCTCTTTGGTGCCTGCCGGCTGAACAGAAGACCAGCCAAAATCTTTAAGGAGGGCTAGGGCAAGTCAAAGTCAGCTTGGTCAGAGGAAGTTGGGGCAGCAGGACACCGGACACCCTGGACTTGGATCCAACGCAGTGAAGTCTGGTCAGGTAAAGGGTTGGGACTGCTCACACTCCCTGGGACCCAATAGACTACGGCCTTGTCCGGAAGACTCAGGACAACGGTACCTACAGGCCGGGCAGAAGACCAGCTGAAGTATTTTATGGCTGGAGTTAAATGCTGGCAGCCAAAGATCATATCTTGCTTTCAGATGTTCCTCAAAGCATACAATGTTCTGGGACGCTGGACCCGTTTTCCAGCAGGTGCTGCTCCCCACCAATAGATGGAGCAGTGGAGTACTTGAAAAAAAAAAAAAAAGGTCGAAGTCAGCTTGTTCAGAGGAAGTTCGGGGAGAGGTTGCTAGATGCTCGCTTTGAGCTGTGCCACTACGAGGAGGCTTCAGCCGACAGACCAGCACCAGACATAGCTGAGCTGTGAGAGAAGACCAAGGCCAGCCATAGCTGAGATGTGAGAGAAGACCCGTGCCAGCCATAGCTGAGCTGTGAGAGAAGACAAGCGTCAGTTGTAGGGCCGTGAGGGAAGACCAACACCAGCCATAGCTGGGCTGTGAGAGACAACCAGCACCGACCAGAGTTGGATGAAGAAGCAGAAGACCTGCTCCTCGGGATTTGGGCGGTGAGGTGGATGTTGCGAGGGCATTCTACTCCCGTCCTGACCGGTGCTACCATCTTCCTTCGAACATAACACACCATCATCACGATCATATCGCACTGGAAATAAAGATATCTTGTATACGTTCAAAAAAATCACGGTGCGTTGTGTTTGGCGGAAGACGGTAGCCAGGGGAGGGCCTCATTCCCCCCTTCCAGCCATTGCCTGTGCTGGTGGGTGATCACTGCTTTGTCATTGCTGCTGCTACTGTCTTAACCCGAATAGAACTGCAATCAGACTCGACTTATTCACTCTTTTCATGCACCTGAACAGCAACACACAACTGGCGACATGCGCCCACACAGTACACAGAGATATGTCTTCCAGGTAAGTTCGCATCCACTGACTATGGCGACTGTGCGCCCTTACAACTCACTGTTCACACTCGAGATCACCCTGGATGTCCCACACGCAACACTCTGTATTCACACGCAACACACACACACTATGCTACAGCTATGGCAGCGCTAGCTGCCGCTACCCTACCGCTACACTACGCTTCTCTGCCCTCTTCGTCTTCGGGCACACTGCAGACCTCCTCGCACAAGCTGCTGAGGCAGCGCTTCCGCATGGCATCCGCAGGAATGAATGAATGGCTGGACGCAGCCTCTTGATTTATACTTCGGCGCCGCGTTGGTCTGCCCTGTATCCCCTGGTCCCCGATGTGCCCACAGCCCYAGACGGTACTTGCTGGACAGGACCGGACTGACTAACTGGGACTGTTGACTCAGCGAGGTGGCCTACCACCRCTTGACCACTTGCCTCTGTTCAGCGCAGGTCTTCTCCGAAAGGCCACTTCTAGAACCCTCTGATTTGGMCTTTCGGTACTGTAGCAGCTACGACTTTGCCCCYTTAGRCATCCTMCAGCTAAGACTTCGGAACTGTCTAGACTCTTACCCTACAAGTCTACAGTTCGATTCCCTTCTAAGCTGTGACCTACGACACTCTACCTACCACTGGCGTTTCGACAGGTCGCAGGTTCAAATCTACGGGTTGACACCAATACTGTACACAGGTAAGATGGGGAACTAGGGATCGAGCCCTGGGATCTGCACTCGCTACTGCGAACTGGTGAATACCGTTTCACTCCCGCCGGCCTAAATTCGAGGTCCTCCGAGAAAATTTCAATCCAAGGCAGGACCTTTACCCTTCTGCTGTCTCTCGTAGGCCCGGACTATATCGGGAGCTGTCTCTAGGAGTTCAGATCTTGTAAACCAGCGGTTGTCCTCCGGTTCTTGGTAGCTAAAATGAACCTTGTACTGTTTCTGTGGACGACCCCTACCTCCAGTTCTGAATACCTCTTCAGCAACTATGCCATCGATGTCATACCTTCCATCCATATCGGGCGGAATCATAGATTTACGGGATGGAAACTGATCACTTATTTGACAAGGTAGCAACTTCGATGCGTGGAAAACTGGGTACGTGTGGAGGTGTGCTGGGAGTTCTATCGTATAGGACGGTCCATCTTCGCTGCCCTTGACTTCCAGGACAGGCCACGGTCCTCTATATGTGGGCAGTAACTTCTGCGAGATGTTCTCCTCAGGCGCAAACTCTTTAGAACTGACCCAGACTAAGTCGCCTACTTGAAACTGTGAAGGGCGACGATGTTTGTTCGCTTGCTCTATCATTCTATGCTGGGCTTTTCTGAGGTTCTCTACAACAGTAGCTAGTTCTTTCTCGTGCTGTACCGCAAACTCCCTGGTCCCGGGCGGCAATCTGTGAATCTGATCCCGGTTGAGTCCCTCAAACGGTCTCGCGACCTAAAGGACTTGTGCAGTTCGTTGGGAGTGCGACATGTGGACAGATGCACGCTGTTATTGTACGCACTAGCTACTTTGGGCAACATCTCATCCCAGTTAATCTGATCTGGCCTAATATACATGCGCAGAACTTGTTGTAGAACCTTGTTCATTTGCTCTGTCTGACTGTTAGTCTCTGGATGACGGCCGGACGACATCAACAACTTAGATCCATACGCTCCCATGAGTTCTTGCCAGTTCTGGCTGGTGAAGCGACTATCTCTATCGCTAACTATTGACAGCGGGATTTCGTTCTCACTAACCCAACAGTCGAAAAACCTCTGTATGACTAAATCAGTACGCGCCTCTGAAGGCAAAGGAACAAAAACTGTGTATTTACTGAATCGGTGAACTATGACCATGACTTGGCTCTTGCCATGCCTGCTTTTGACTTGAGTGTCCATGAAGTCAATGGACATGGAGTCCCCCGGCTGGTCCGGAATGGGCAAGGGTCTGAGAAGACCTAGCGGGGCGCGCGTAGAACTCTTGTTACGCTGGCAAACCTTACAACTGCGAACATACTCTACGCAGTCATTCTTCATCCCTGGCCAGGTATACGCGCGCATTAGATTGGCTAAAGTCCTTTGCCAACCGAAATGACCCTCTGTGTCGTGGCATTACCCCAAAATTAGACTACGAATCTCTTCATTGTTGGGAATGCACAATCGGTCGAAAACATTAGTCTTCTCAAATAGCAACCCTTCAGTAGTTCGGCTCAGTCTCTGGGGCCTCTTTGACCTTCTTAAGGAGGTCACTATAGATAGGGTCCTGTGCGTAGGCCTCTCTAACCTTCTGCTGTAGGTCCTTCCCTATATCGAGATAATGTACTATCGCCCCAAAGTAATCTGCCCTCCTACTTAGAGCATCCGCGACTACATTGTACTTCCCTTTGACAGGCTTGAGCTCGAAGTCGTACTGATCTATCTCGGCGGCCCACCTAGTAAGCTTAGGTGTCATCTTGGCCTGCGTCTTTAACCATCGTAATGTTTCATGGTCAGAATAGACTTTGAAGTGCCTCCCAAGCAAGTAGTGCTTCCAGTGATCTAAGGCTTGCCTGAGAGCGTAGAGTTCCCTCTCATAGGTAGATGTCGCGACCTTCTCTGAAGGCATTCTGGCGGACATGAACTCTACGGGTCTATACCCATTGCCATCGTCTTGCTGTAGCACTGCACCTATGCCGTATTGACTCGCATCGGTCATGACAACAAAGGGCAAGGACGGGTCGGCGACTTGAAGGACTGGATACTCTATCAATGCCTGCTTTAATTTTTTCATGGCAGACGTGCAGTCTTTATCCCACTTCCAGATAGTTTCCTTTCTCAACAATCTGCGAAGGGGCGCAGCGATGGTGGAGAAGTTCCTCACGAACTTCTTATAGTAATTAGCTAAGCCCAAGAACTAGCGCAACTCTGTCAACGTACGCGGTGTTGGCCAATCTCTAATCGCTGCAATCTTACTATCTTCTGGCTTAACGCCGTCTCCGTCTAAAACGTGGCCTAGGTACAAAACTTGGGTCTTTGCCCAATCGCACTTCTTTGCATTGATCTTGAAGTTAGCTTCCCTCAGCTTCTCCAAGACTTGCCTGAGATGACCCTGATGCTCTTCGAGGGTCCTACTAAACACTAGGATGTCATCTAGGTAAACTACAACAAATTTGTCTAACCACGGCCTAAACAAATCGTTCAAACAACGCTGGAACGTAGCTGGCGCGTTGGTTAGTCCAAAGGGCATCACTATGAACTCGTAGTGCCCATATCTAGTCCGGAAGGCTGTCTTATATTGATCATCAGGATGCACCTCTATTTGATGATATCCGGAGAAATCTATCTTAGAAAAATACTTCGCCCCCTGCACTCGATCTAAGAGATCGTCTATCCTAGGCAGTGGCTCAACATTCATTACTGTAATAGCATTCAGACCCCTATAGTCTATRCACATTCTCAGCTCTCCCTCTTTCTTAGGRACAAAGAGAACAGGCGCTCCAAAAGGAGACGAACTGGGCCTAATCCAACCCTTCTCGAGGAGCTCGTCTAATTGCTTGCGAAGCTCCTCTAACTCCCGCGGGGACATCCTATACACAGCACCCTTAGGAGTTCTACTGCCAGGCTCTATCTCAATACGGTGTTGGATAGGCCGCGGCACCGTGCCTGTCGGCGGCTCAGTCAAATCCTTAAACTCTTCCAGCAGCTTGGCAATCGCAGGGTCCATCGGCTTTTCCTCCGTAGGCTTGGTCACTGGCTTAACATAGGCAACAAAAACCTGCTCCTCCAATTTCTCCCTTTTCACCAATCTGGCGAACGTGGGGGCACTAAGGCAGCAATGCGCCAAGGAATTCTCTACGCCTGACACATGGAACAGGCGGGCAGTCTTAGCCTCGCCTGACGAACTAGGGAGCATACGCTCGTGCTCCTTCAAATGGAGCGTGGCCCCGGTTGCCTCTCCCCAATCCATTCCCATAACAATATCAAAGGGGAGACTGTCTTCTACGAGGAGAGTCAGGGAGTGGAGAATCCTTTCCACTTTCCCGTCTTTCTCTAGGCGGAAATACGCCTGGACTCCCTCTACGTAATCCTCTACAATCATAGTGCGATTGTCCGTGAGGATGCTAACTATGGGGTCTGTCAGTTTCTGGACTTTAAGTCCCAACCTCAACTTCTGCAGCACTTTCCTACTAATATAGCTGCGGGTGGCCCCGGAATCTACTAGGGCCCCTACTCTACTTCTAAAAATCTCTGTATCTAATAAGATCAGCTGCCCGTTATTCTCCTTCTTCATCTTGGCCCAGGCGGGCCTCCTCTCCTTCAACTTGTCGGCCACGCCTGTGAGGGAGGTGTCTAGAGAGACCCTAACACAAGCGGTCTCTGGGCAGCTATCTAGACACCGGCCTGCAACCTCTGCCATAGGCACATGTGGTGTGGGAGTCTCCTGCCGGCTAGCACTATGTTCCCCACATGGCCTAATGGTAGGGGTAGTTGCTACCCCTACCGGCGGCTGCCTTTTGGCCCTTGGGCAGCCGTTCGGGTCTCGCGATACTTAGGACAGTATTTGATGATGTGGTCCGGGTCACCGCAGAAAATGCACTGGCCCCGGTCCAATCGTTGTTGCCATAAAGTCTGGTCTAGACCCAAAGATTCCCAAGGCCTACCCTGAGGTAGCCCCGGGTGCCATCCGCCTACCCTATAGGGAGACGTGTTCCTAGGACGGTTTTGCGGGAGACCTTGACCCCTGCCTCCCGCTTGGCGGTTTCCTCCTCTGCCGCCAACCCCCTGATCGCCCTGAAACCGGCTCCCTGAGGCCCGGCCCCCTTGGCCCTGGCCTTGTCCTCCTTGCGGCCTCCCTCCAGCCGCAACAGCAGCGTAAGTCCTCCCCTGGCCCACACCGCTGTCCTCTCCCTCTAATCCCCACTCAATCTGATCGTAGGGGATCTCATCCACACTACCCTCATCTAAGGTCAAGACAGGACTGTCCTTGGTCTTTACCTGTCCTGAGATAGTGCGGCCTTTCAATTGCTTTCCCCTGTCCAAATCCTTGTGCCAGAAGGTAGACAGGGACACTGACTTTGCTTCAAAAGCCACCACCTCACGGCTAAGAGAATCGTAAGTGGTGGCGGGGTCTTCGCTCTTCGCGAAGAACTGCCCTCGCCCGATAAAAGAGGTTGACCAACTGGCCCTTTGTGACCCCATGGTCAGGGACGGCAACCAACTCATCCATCGTACCCTTGAGTGCCCTAACACTCTTCCATTTACGAGAATGGATGGTTTGGAGCTTGTCTGAGGCCTTGACACTGCGAGCGACATCAGCAAATCGCTCGCGCGACAATTTCATAAAATCGATGAGGGGGGTAAATGCGGAATACGCGACTGGATCGTCATTACAATTGGCAGCGCGAACAAGGGACCTTGCAAAGCTAGCGGCCTCGTCTCTAAGCGCGTGGATCGCGATGAGAACCTGCTGATCTGGGGAGACCTGTTGCAGATGCACATAGGTCTTGACATTGGCCTCCTAGTTGTCAAAGTTCTCTTCCCTTTTTCCACTGTAGGAATCAGGGAACTTGACCTTGACCGGCTCCCGGCGAGGCGGACGTGCTTCCTCCTCTTTGGGAGCTGCCGCCTTGATGCCTTCAATGGCGCCAGCGCAAAACCGTTCGGTCTTGTCAAGGCGATGACCCGCCTCCGCTCCAACAGCGCCTACTAACTCACGAGCAAAGTCCCGGAAGCCCAATCGCATCGAGCGCACAACTATGTCTTGACTCCTACTGAAGTCATATTGGTCCGCCTGAATCCGTGCCAGGCGTGGGACACTTCGGGCTATAACTCGCATCTGGGCTGGGAGTTTAGTCTGGGCGGCTACTTGCTCTTCTAGCTTTTTCACCTCCTCTAATTCTGTCGCCGCCTCCGCTGCCTTGTCGACTCTTCTCTTCTTCTCCCTCATCTTTGCTAATTTCCACTCCATCCTCTTCTCGTCTTCCAACGCCTGTCGTCTGAGGGGATCTTTCTCTGCATCCCAAGCTCTCATGGCAGCCTCTTGTTGATCCTGTGGGATATACATACTAACTTCTTCCTCTTCTCCCACAGACAGATTGGCAACCCATTCGGATATCCTCTTCTCCAGGTCCCTACCGTTGCTGCCACTGTGCTGCCCACTATTTCGTTGCAGTGGCGGTCCTTCCTCCTTTTCTTCGTCCACCTCCTTCAACTTCGCCTCCTCTTCCTTCTTGATCCTCGCCTTCTCTTTGGCCATCTCTTCCTCGATCTTTCTCAACTTGGCCGCCTGCTCTTCCTGCAAGGCCTTCTTCTTGGCCTCCTTCTTCTCCCTCCTCTCCTGCAGAATGGCGGCCATCTTCTCCTCCTCCTCCTTCGTGTAGGGGTTGGTGGAAGTACCACCACGAGTGGGCCCTACTCTACACGTGAAAGTGGGCCAA